TTAAAAGAATGATAAATTTAAAACCCTCGCGTTTTGAAGTAGACATAATAAATTTGCATTCATCTGAAAGAAATAAAATTGTTAAAAATCATGGGTGCTCATAAAACTCGAGAATTTTTATAAATACATAATATATTTGCATTCATTCGAAACAAACAAAAGATAGTATTCGCTCAAAGCAAACAAAAATTGATAAAACTGTGGGTTACATTTTATGAGAATTGCAACATTTAATGTACACTTAATAGATATGCATTCGTTCGAAATGAACAAAAATTATCAAAAAGTATGAAAATTGCCAAACTTTGATGTACACACAATTAATTTACATTCATGTGAAACGAAGAACAATCATTCGAAATGAAGATAATTTTACATTCATCTTAAATGAATAAAAATTGTTAAAATAATGATTTAGAGCACATGAAAATCACAAATTTTAATGTACACACAATAAATTTACATTTGTTCGGGACAAAAAAATTATAAGTTACAATGCATAGAGATCGCAAATTTTGATGTACTCTTAAAAATATGTATTTTTCGAAACAAAAATAAATTATTAAAAATCAAGGGTTATAACTCATGAAAATCATAAATTCGAAGTACAAACGTAATAAATTTACATTCGTCCGACAAACAAAAATTATCAAAAATCATGAATTATAACTCATAAAAATTGTGAATTTTGATGTCAACATAATAAATTTGCGTTTATTTGAAAGGAACAAAAATTTGCGAAAATCATGCGTTATACCTCATAACATTACGAATTTTTAATACACAATAAATTTACATTTGTTAAAAAAATTATTTTTTTTCAAAAATGGTCAGTTATAAACCTTGAAAATTGCGAATTTTGGTATATAGATACTTATTATACATTTGTGTAAAGCAAACCAAAATTGAAAAAATCATAGGTTATAACTCATGAAAATTATAAATTTTAAATATACATATAATAAATTTGCATTTTGTTGAAAACAAATAAATATATGCAAAAATCGTTGGTTATAGTTTATGAAATCGCAAATTTTGAAGTACAATGAATTTTTATTCTTTTGAACTGAACAAAAATTGACAAAAATCGTGGGTTATAGCTCATAAAAATTACAAAAATTTGACATACACATTATAAATGTGCATTTAGTCAAAAAAATTTTTATCAAAAATCATTGGTTATAGCTTATAAAAATCATGAATTTTGATGTACAAATATTAAATTTGCATACATTCAAAAAGAAGAAAAATTGACAAAATTTGTGGGTTATAGCTTATAAAAATTGTGCATTATGATGTAATCATAATAAATTTATATTCCTTGAATACAAAATAAAATTAACAAAATTGTGGGTTATTGCTCAAGGATATTGCAAATTTGCATGTACGTATAATAAACTTACATTCGTTCCTTATGATAGAAAGTTTACAAAAACCTCGGTTATAGCTCATAAAATGTTTACGTACATAGTTAATTTACATTCATTCCAAACGTATGAAAATTGACAAAAATCATTGATTATAGTTTAAGAAAATCGTGAATTTTGATGTACACATAATAAAATTGTATTCGTTTGAAATGAATAAAATTTGTCAAAAATCTTTGGTCATAACTCATGAAAATTGTAAATTTTGGTGTACATATAATAAACATATTTTTGTTTGAAACGAAAAAATTGACAATAATCATGTGTTATAGCCCATGAAAAACACAATTTTGATGTGCACATAATAATTTACATTAGTTTGAAATGGATTAATTATGGGTTGTAGCACAAAAGAAACCAAAATTTGATGTATATGAAAAAAATTTACGTTCGTCCAAAGCGAACAAAATTTGTCAAAAACTGTGGGTTATAGTTCATGGCAATTTTGAATTTTGAAGTGTGCTTAATAAATTTATAATAGTTCACAAACAAAAAATAAATATAGTGGGTTATAGCTCTTGGACATTGTGAATTTTTATGTACATAATTAATTTACATTTGTTCGAAACAATAAAAAAATTAACACAAATCGTGAATTCTTTTCAAAATTTCCTTATTTGCTCATGAAAACTGTAAATTTTAATGTACCCTTAATAAATTTGCATTTGTTCGAAACAAACAAAATTATCAAAAATTATGAATATTGTCAAATGTTGATGTACACAGTAATTTTGATTCATTTGAAGTGAAAAAAAAATTTACATTCATTCGAAACAAACAAAATTTGTCAAAATTATGGGTTATAGCCCATGAAAATCACATTCGTTCGAAATGGAAAAAAATTGACAAAAATCATGCGTTATAGCGTATGAAAATTCGTAAATTTTAATGTACATAAGAAATTTACATTCATTCAAGACGAACAAAAATTATAAAAAATCATGGGTTAGTATAGCTCCTGAACAAGAATTTTGAGGTACACATAATAAATTTACATTTGTTTGTAAGGAATAAAAATTATCAAAAATCGTGGGTTATAGTTCATGAAAATCACGAATCTTAATGTACACCTAATAAACTTACATTCGTTCGAAAGGAATAATATTTTACAAAACTCGTGCATTATAACTTCTAAAATCATGAATTTTGATATACATATAATAAATTTATATTCATTTAGAAAGAAAATTATTATCGAAGTCAAGTGAGTTATAACAGCTGAAAATTGTGAATTTTACTATGTAGACAATTAATTTATTGTCATTAAAAACGTGTCCAATTTGACAAAAATCTTTACTATACACAGTTAATTTGTATTTGTTTGAAACAAACAAATATTTATGAAATCGTAGATTATATCTCATAAAATTATAATTTTTTACGTATACAAAATTAATTAATTTTCGTTTGAAAAGAATTGACCAAAATTATGGATTATAGCTCATGAAAATCACAAATTCTATTCTACATATAATAAATTTGCATTCATTTGAAACGAATTAAAATTATCAAAAACCATGAGTATAGCTCATGAAAATTATCAAATTTAATGTCCACAATATATTTGCATTAGTTTGAAATTCACAGAAATTCACAAAAATCACGGGTTATAGGTATTGAAAATCGTGAAATATAATGTGAAAACATAATAAATTTACATTTTTTCGAACCAAAGCAAAATTGATAAAAATCATGGTTATTACTTATAAAATCGCGAGTTTTTATGTACACCCAATTAATTCATGTGGGATGAACAACAATTGATAGAAGGCATTGGTTTTAGTGAAGGAAATTTGTAAATTTTGTTGTACACAAATTGACAAAGTCATGTTATAGCTCTAAAGATCGCGAATTTTGACTTACGCACAATTAATTTACATTCATTCAAAACGAACAAAAATTGACAAAAAATCTGGATTAGCTAATGAAAATTGTTAATTTTGATGTACACATAATAAATTTACATTCACTCAAAACCTAAGTTACTCGGATATAGCGTTTTGGATGTCGTGTCCGTGTCGGACACGGATTCTCTGCGAACACTCCATGGACACGTGTGGTTCAAAGCAAAACCCTATTTTCCCATAACTATTACCTTTCTTTAGTAATTTTGAACCCAAAAACTAACATCCATCACTTAAATATTTAAAAAATATCCATTGTAGTATCCCATGCAATCAAAACTAAACTTCTGCTGTTAAACCTTATTTTTAGTTTGATTTAACTTGCTTCTTAACTGTTATACATAATAGAGAGAAACATATACACACACATATAGTCATGTCCCCCATATCCTACATTTTACAAGTTTGACGTGTCTCTGGTTCGTATCCATGTCCGCACCTATGTCCATGCTACCTAGCTGGAAACGAACCAAAATTAACAAAAATCATGGGTTATAGTTCATGAATATCACAAATTTTCATGTCCACGTAATAAACTTGCATCCGTTCAAAACCTACAAAAAGTTATAAAAATTATAGGTTATAGCTCATAAAATTGTGAATTTTTACATGCGCAATTAATTTACATTCGTTTGCAAAGAACAAAATATGAAAAAAGGTGAGTTGTAGCTCATAAAAACCGTGAATACAAAGTAAATTTTGATGTATACAAAGTAAATTTATTCTTTTGAAAAGAACAAAGACTAAAAAGTTGTGGAATATAGCTCTTGAAAATTATAAATTTTGATGTGCACGATTAATTTATATTTGCTCGAAACAAGTAAAAACTGACAAAATGTGTGGGTTATAGATCATGAAAATCACAAATTTTGACGGTACACGTTTAATTTATACATATTAGCCAGACTATGTTGATCCATATCAACCACGTCAAATACAACAATATAATCTCTAATTGTAAAGCAAAGCATTCATCCAAAACTTTGGGTTCAATCACATCATTTCCTCTTCTCTATTCAGCTTTCTTAAGTGCATTTTCCCTCTGCTACGAGTCTTATGACTGGTATTCTCTTTTCATACTCGTCAGATCTATAGTGATCCATATCAATCACATCAAATATATCACTCTGACCTCTAATTGTGCTCATCACACCTCTTCAAACCTTTTCAGGTCTCAAACGATTCTTCCTTATTTGCTCAAAGATTTGGAATTGCCAGTGAGCTGTCAAAATTACTCCGCTGAGAAAATGAAGAATATCTGTTCCCTCTGCATGAAATGCTACAAGTTGCTTAAGGGAACCATTTTATACCTGCTGAATTAGTACTGATCTTTCTCTTAGCCAGTTGTTCTCTGCACTGACCATATTTAGGTGATCACTCCCATTACCATTTTTCAACGATAAAATGAAATAAAACAAGGTTTCCTAATTTATGGACTTGCTGATGCCTCAAACTTCAGATCTTTTTTGTGTTGTAACTGTATTTGAGTGAGAAAAATCTGAGTTTCCTGTGCTCTACTTCCAGCAGTGGTCACAAAATTGCAACGCTTTAGTAGAATTACTGAAGCAACTGCAGCAACATGTTTACTTCATGTTAGTAATTTGTTTACCGTTTACGATCATTAGGTTTAGAACTCAATTCCAAAGTTTGTGTATTTGTCTGCCCACAGGAGTGGACATCAGTATGAACACCCACCTGAAGACAGTGAAGCTTACACTGAAAGGGAAAAATCCTGTTACTCTCGATCATCTAAGTGTCAGAGGTAACAACATTCGGTACTACATCTTGCCTGACAGCTTAAACCTGGAGACCTTATTAGTTGAGGAAACACCTAGGGTAAAGCCCAAGAAGCCAACTGCAGGTAATTGACATTTACTTCTCTCACACTATTTCACATGTATTATTTCCAGTAGGATATGTCCTTTTATTATTATTATTATTATTATTCTTATTATTATTAAATTTTAAATTTTTTGTGTTTACTTATGTTTGTTTGTTATGTTCAGGGAGACCATTGGGGCGTGGTCGAGGGCGCGGACGCGGACGTGGTCGTGGCCGAGGACGTTAGATGTCCCTACCTGCATTTAAATTTTTGCATCCTTCGATTACATGGAGTTAGCATTGGAAATTTCATGTTGGCTTATCCTTGGTTTAAAAAAAAAAAATGCTTGGTTGAATTATGTGATTGTACGATTATACGGTTGATGGGAAGATTTTTCAGAATTATTCTGATGATGAACTAAAAGTTTTCTATTGGCTTTGTTGTTGCGGGTATGGGTGGTAAACAATCGAATCGAATACTAAGGTGTTCGTGTTTGTATTTGTTTAAAATTATCAAATTCAAATGCAGACTCTAATATTCATATATGGAGTTTTTCGAATTTGAATTCGAATACTTGGTATTTGATAAATATTCATGAATACTTATCGAATAACAAAGTATATTTATTCAAATAAAAAGTTTGATTTTTAAATAGTATTTAAATTCATAAATAAAAATTATTCCTTCGTAATATATAATGTATATTTATCTAAATCAAAGTTTTTATTAGAAAATAGATTTAAGAATATTTAAGTTTTAAATTCAGTACATAAAACTTGAGTAAAAATGGTAAGTAGGTAAAAAATATGATATCATATGTGTAATAATACAAATAATAAGTGATCAAATTTTAAACGAATATTTGATGGACAAACAAATTGAATAGACACCTGATTAAATTTTATTCGTTAGTAAATTCGAATACTAAAAAATATTTGTTTAGTGTTAAATTAACTACCGAATCAAATATGATCGAATAATTACTCGAACAATTATCGATTAATTATTTGGTTCATTTTCACCCCGGCCCTAGTTGCAGGTCACCAAATGTCGTTTGTTAGTTTAGCATGCTCATATAATTCTATAAACGGATCGTGGAACTTTGCTATTGTTGATTCATGAGGTGAACCTGCTGTTTCTTTGAGATTAAAAGAAAAGGCACAGCTGTTCATAGTTATGGTCCGCAGCGGCAGGGATTATGAGCAAGCAGATTTTAAATTGAATTTAATGGATTCTTTTTGTCAACTTGGCAAAATTGCTACGGAAATGTTGATCATGACTCATGTGAAGACGGTCCTTGAGATTTTGATGGAAAATGCTATGTTTTTTCGAGGACGTCCTATTGCTGGTGGATGTTCTCATCATTGTACTGTTGTCGGCGTTGGCTTATGTAAAAGATGGTTTTTTTTTTTTTGACATTTTAGACGGTTGTTAAGTATTATAAAGTGTGTTTTATAGCAATATACGCCTAATGTATCTGAAAATAAAGCAGTAATTGCCTCTTATTAGGTTATGTGGGTGAAAAAGCAAAGGAGGGTCAAATAGTGGGGTGTAGATTTAGATATCCCCTCAAAGTTTTTCATGTAGTTTGGCCTTCTTAAGCTTCTAGAAGACAGTTGCCTGTCCAAACAGTAAACAATTATATATTTCCACTCTTAGATAGAAGCCCATGTCTTGGACTCCAAGTCAGGGTCCACTACCACGGTATCTTGGTCTTCCAATGAACTTCTACGCTATTGCTCCTCGAATGTGACACTTGTTAGCGACGTCCAATTTCCTCTCTTTTGATTGGCTTAAAATTTTGTGAATTAGAACGTCGTTGATGCTTTTCAATGCAAAGAAGTAGATCGACTAAGGGGCTGTTTGGATAGGTTTTTTTTGGTGGTAAAAGAGGAAAAAACTGTCAAAAATGTCAGCTTTTTGACAGCTTTCCTCCAAAATCATCTTTTTAAGGGGTGATTTTGGGGGAAAACTGTCAAAAAGCTAACATTTTTGACAGCTTTCCCCACTTTTACCACCCAAAAAAAAGGAACCAAACAGCCCCTAAATAGCAAAGAATCATATTTAAAAAAAAAAATTCTTACTCGTTTTGATAAGCTAATCATTATACGAGAATTGATCGCATGCGACGTGCGGTTCTGAGCCGCATAACATAACATGTATGATTATCAATTGTTTCTCCACTTTTCACATCGAAAGACTAAGAATTGCACGCCTACAACTACAAGCGGATAATTGTAATTGGACAAGTACTCATTGTTAGCTTGACCTGGTCTAAGATGACCAAATCAACAATTCTCAGTAGAGAGAATTGTGGAACGTGAAAACGTGGAAGGGTTGTTGAGAGAAAATCTCTCATTGGGGCGGATTTGGGGGGTGGAGTTAGTGGGTTCAGCCCCTATAAATTGAGGAGAAATCTCCTTGAGAAATCACAACAAAAGAAAGCGAAAAACCTCTTACCCATTAACGGAATCCCCCTCAAAATTTGTTCTTCCTTCTCCTCTGTTTTCATTCACTGGTATTAGAGCCAGTTTCAATTGACAACGGCTGCTTCGATCATCGACGGCGACCTTGATCCACCAGGCATCGACGACGACCTCGATCCACCAGACATCGTCGACGACCTCGATCCATCCCGCACCGTCGACGACCTCGATCCAGTTTCTAGGTTGATTTTTTTTTGCGGCGACGACGAGGACCTGGTTTTCTTTTCGTTGCTCTTTGAAGGACTCGGTGCCCTCCGCTTCTAGAGTTTTCACGAGCCTACGTTTTCAGCTTGACCTGTCTGTTCCTTATTCTCTTTGTTTTCAAAGCCCATTCATTTTATTTGTCAAATCAAAGGCAGGCCCATGTTCA